ATCTATTGTTTAAACTGTTTATGGTTCAGCATGATAACATGCCAGCATCATTTGCATGTATTTAAGCATAACAATAGACAGTTTTGATCTTATGATCAGACGATTTAAAAAAAACATCAAGAGACCAACAAAAGTGTTCCACATTGTTCTCTGGGGGATGTGTTCAGCAATTTTAGTCCAGACCATCTACTACTGCAGTTATTAGCAACCCTGGAGAGGGCAATCACGGAAATAGTGGACGAATCAGACTAGGGTAAAATGAGAGTAACACAATAGCCACCATGGTTTCAAAAAGCAGCCCATGCTACTTCCCTGTTGTTAGTGAGTGCAGTAACTGACCTCTTTAGTGATAAAGAAAGACCAAATACCAGTGTTGATATAATAATACAGGCTATACCACTAATGAAAAAGCCAGACGAGCAACTTAATGGAGCAAGCTCCTCATCCCACACAGTCCCACACAGTGCCACAACCAGCACACAGCTGTCAGGCCTTGGCTGCACCCCGACAGGTTGTGGTCTTTAATTTATGGAGTTTCACCCTGAATGGAAGCAGGGAAAGACAAAGTGGGAGCGGGGACAAGGTTTGTGGTTCTTTGTTTTTATCAGCCTGCTGCACAGGCAGGAAACACACATGTGCCACGCACTCACACTGACATTTGCATGCTTGTTCACACACACACACACACACACACACACACACACAATTAACTGTAATAAGGTAGTGTTTTTTTATTGGGGGAAAACTGTGTTAAAGAGTAAAAACATCTTAGAATTAAAATGCAAATCACATCATCTGAGTGAAGCTAACATAACCCTAACATAAGTTATAATCTCTGCAGGTCCACATCTTTGTTTCCATGACGTTTCCAGCTGTGCACTCAGGCCTGACTGCCTGCAAACTTTAACTGAGCTGAAAGGGGAACTTCAGGAACTAGTCAGTTGATATTTAAAACTCCACGCCTGTGAAAAAGAACTTCTCAAAAAGCCAATGTTTATTTGAAAAGGGGGGTTAGCTCTGTGGTGCGGAAAAAAGAAGAAAGAAAAAGACTCAGGCTTACTTCGACAGTGATCGCATTATTAACCATTAACCTTTATAATCCCGTTTATCTGAAGCTGCATTAAAAGCATTCTGCTCGATTGAAAATTTATATGCTTGTGGCTTTTTTATTTGGCTTCAACTCCACACAGAGTCCTTGTACACCTGAATATGAAGCTTGTTTTCTTCTATTAATAAGTACATAACTGTAAACCGTGCCAGCTGTTTCTCTTTAATGATCATGTTTATTGTACAGAAAAAATAATGACTGTTTTTAGTGCTTTTCTTTCTGATTTTAACTTAATTTTTTTTTGTTTAATGCATCGGAAATTCTAGGATTGCACTTTTTGTGCGGCGTAGCGATAGAATTTCAGATTAAAGTTGCATTAGTAAACTTTGAATTGGCTAAATAAATGATCGAAAAATGACGCTACAGTGGATGTAAAAGTTACAGTGGAAGATAAGTTAAAATCCACTTTTTGGTTCTTTTAGTGTTCTGTGAATTTATTGTAATATCTTCTAACTTTTTAGGAAGATTCTAATTTATTTATCTGCAGAAGACGAAAGCCACAATGGAAAATTTCCTGCAGCTCCACTGACTCATATTTCATTCTTCCAAAAAGCGAATAACTGGACAGCCCAGATTATAGATATGTTAGTGACATCTCGCCCAGTATGCAAATTCTTAGGTAAGGCTGAGAATTGGTGTTATCCCTGGTTGGAGCACGCAATAAAAGAGGTTTTTGTTCTTGGTAGATTGTAATCTGCGTGATTAGAGAGAGAGAGAGAAAGTGATGCTTAGAAGTCTATCTGGTCTGTGCTTCCAAAAAAGAAGAAGTGCGGTACATTAAAACATTTAAATTGACCGGCCTCTCTTTCTATTATGTGGCTGAACGGCAAACGGGTATTGGAGGTCTCCTACATATATATACCTGTCCAAAGTGTGCACCTGCACTAGTGTAGCAGCGCTCACCGGTAGGGACAGAAATGGCCTCAAGTGAGGGAAACACATACAAATTGGTGAGTTAGAATAAATGCTAATTACAAATGTTTCGATTTTTAAATAAATATTAAATGCATTTCATGCTTTATTATTATTTTACCTCTTTATATTATTTTGTATAAAATGAGGCGGATTTGTATTTCAGACATCTTTGGACAGTGACATCAATCAGCACTTTCAGGATGCAATCGATGTGATTCAGCAGCATTCGAACAATTCATACTACGATTCAGGTGAACTTTACGGATCTGTTAGATTGATTGAATTGTTTTTATTTGGGGAGGGGTTCTTTGTGCTGAGGTAAAAAACACAATTTGAGTCTTTATTCTTAAAGTTTTACATGATTTTTGATGTACTAAAGTTGAAATTGTCTTTTCAGATTATTCATATTACGAGAATCTGGGAAGTCACCACCAATCACTGCAGTGTCAGATCTCCTGTTGCCTCGTCACACACCAGTCTGAAGTCCCAACTCCTGTTTATGACTGGAATGACATGGCTGTAAGTGTAAAGCATTGATAAGTTTGAGAACAGAGATTATAGAAATCTGGATATTTATATGAAATGTGTTTTTTACAGCAGCAGTCTTGGCCTCAGGTCATACCCGATGTTGCGTTGAGTCACTCAGTGCAAAATGAATCCCCACATTTTTACTCCATCTTACCACCACAAAGGAATGGCAAAGGTGATCAGTGTTTTAAAAACACCTGAAAATTAGTTGTTGTTACACTTTTTTGTGCAATCAAAACTGAAACGACGGTGTTGTCCGTCTCCTCAGGTCGGAAGAAGCTCAGACTTTATGAATACCTGCACGAGGCTCTGAATGACCCCAACATGGGCGACTCAATCCAGTGGACGGACAGCGGCAGCGGCACCTTCCACTTCATCTCCAAAAACAAGGAGAAGCTGGCTGAGTGCTGGGGCCAGCGTAAGGGCAACCGCAAGACTATGACCTATCAGAAAATGGCAAGAGCTCTGAGAAACTACAGCCGTACTGGGGAGATCATCAAAGTACGCCGCAAACTCACCTACCAGTTTAACCCAGACATCCTGCACAGGCTCGGCTCTGCACATGTGCCCATGCACCTGCCCCGTCACCCTCCACAGGAGGAGGTCCACACCCAGCAGCACAATCCGTCCGAGCAGAGCTACTGCGGCTCTGCGGCAGCAGACTGGCACAGCTGGTACGCTCACTATCAGCCGCACGAAGATTACGACCTGGCCGCAAGCTTCACCTCACACACCAAACTCTGAGGTGGCGGAGAGCTCTCAGGATGTCAAAGTTTTCAAAGACTCAAATATTTTCGTTACATGCTGGATCCTGGTTGTAAAATGTATTAATTTACAAAAAACCTTTAAAAATGTTTTTTTGTTTTCTTTTCTTTTGTTTTTTTTATTTCAATACCTTTACTGAACAACATACACATTTTCTGGCAGTTGCAACCAGTACTGTGTGGATTATTTAGCATACTGTTTGCTTACCAGATTGACTTCAAGGCAGCAGCAACAAAAGTTAAGAGTAAAATTAACCTCACAGAACCAAATCAAAGTGGTTTTCCTTAGAGGTTTTCTTTCTGGATCCCTATTTATTCAAAGCATGTCATTATTTGAGAATTTGGGACAGAAAAAGTAACAGACTTTGTAAATTGATTCTGTATGCTGTGATTTAGAAGTGTTTGTGTACATTATTTAAGTTGCTTTTAGTAGTATATGAAAGAGATTTCACTGTATATTACTTGTAAATAAGACTTTAATATTCTCATTTTGTAATTTATAACAAAATAAATTTAAACTGTATTGCTTTAGCAACACTTTAGTTGGATGATACAGGCACATACTTTTAAAGAAGGGGTAAAGTTAAAATGACGGATGATCCAAAGCCATCAGTTAAAATCAAGGATGTCACTAAAATTTTAATTTGTATACTTGTATTTCTTTTATTGCTAATATTAAAAAATTTTTTTAGCAATTAGTGAACTGAAATTCATGATTACAAATCTGTTAGCGTCTGTAGTGCCTCTTTTACTCTTCCTTTCTTTTCTTTTTTTTTTAAACCTATGTGGATCTCGTGCATTTAGCATATTGTTTTACTTTAATATGCTCCAGTTTTCCTTTTGCCTTTTGGATTGTTTTTATGTCACTGTAAGCATTCAACAACACTGTTGTAAACATTTTTACATGTCCAAATAAATCAGAGTAAATTAAATCAAATTCAGTTCAATTAATGTTGACAGGAACCAGTAGCTGGTTAATGTTTCTTTAAAAAGAAAGATTGACTGAAGGTCTGTATAGAGCCTGAAGTAAATAAGTAAAACTTTTTTTTTTTTTTTTTTACAGACAAAGTCACAGAATAAAACATGAAAATATAAAATCTTTTTTTTTTTAATTCTAATATAGCAAAAAATGAAAACCTGGAATTTAGTTACATTTTTTCAAACTATATTTTAATTTGATTAGTTTACAGCCTTCATAATTACCATCATATCACCACTATATTATTCAAGATTTACCACCAAACATGTTTGATATACTAATTTAAAAAAAGGTAATAATGTTTAAAATTCTAATGATCATTTTTATGTACATGTAAATAGTAAGTGGAAAATATATTTCATGGTTGCACTAATCTTTATCCATAAATACTAAGATATAATAATTTAAAATGTAAGAATTAAATCATTTTCTCAGTATTGTTCAGTTTTGCTGATATGAAAATATCATCTTTCAATGATTCAACATCTCTCCCAAAAAAAATAAAAACTCAAAATAAAGCTACACGCTGCTATTATCGTACAAAAATATATTTTTTAAAAACATGTTGAAAGATTTGGCACCGTCTCCAATGCAGTGAAATATTACAACAGGCACACAAAATATGAAATTAAGACACATCCTGTGAGGAAAAATGTGTCAGCAAGTGTGTGTTTTCCTGAATCGAGAGCATTGTGTAGAAGCTGCCTCCAGGCCAGGTCTTATCTGGTTCAGCGGGGAGGATGTGGTCAGTGCTGGGAGGCTTTGTTGATGGGTTGACTGGTGCTTGTGTCGGGGGCTTTGTGGGATGGTGGTCATTGTTCCTGCGAGCCCAGGGTAGAAAACGTTTGGTTTTATGTATGCAGAAAGCCCGCTCCCGTGGGGGGTATAATAAGAGTCCCCGAACTTGAGTGTCTCAGTGTCAGTTGTGTGTAATTCTCCCATTCTGCAAGGACGGTACAGCATTCGACTCAACCTTATCAGTGATGGTAAAGAGAACTTCCAACATCTTTTCAATTCTGACATATTCAAGGCTGGTTTTATATTATTTACATCTATCAGAGTTTTTTCCAGGAGACTCAGTCTGATTTGGAGGTTATATTAGAGTTCCTCGAGGAGTATCACAGACAAAACAATGCAGAAAATGGTAAGTGGAAACTGGAAATCTATAAATTATTCACTGATTTTATTTGACTACAGCTTCTAAGTAATTTTCTGCTTTTTCTGACAGACAAGGTGCATTGGACGGCTATGGAGGAAAGAAATGTACCTGCAGACGAAACATGCAAGCATTGCTGGGCATACTATGAGCCACCTGTATGCATCAATAATTTGTATTTTAGCACTAGTTTTCTCTCACATATTTGAAGGCTGGTAAGCACTCTGCAATTGGAAATTCTGTTGATTTTCTTTTCTTCTCTTCATCTTTTTTCCCTAATTGAAGAACATCAAACCTACACTCCAGCCTTTCCTTGCACAAGATGCTCCAGCAGGACTCGGCCAAAACACAACAGCAACACTGTCTGAGCGTGGGCCAATGCCAAGCTTCACGACAACAAGAAAATCAACCAAACACCCAGCCGCAGCAAGGGGGAGTGGTGAGTTCTGCTTTTTTTGGTCACTGGATACTGTTATTGTCTCTGTTGCTATCAGTATGAGGGAAATAATACCAAGAGAGCAAATAAGAGACCTTCCCTTTACCGTAAAAAAACAATGGAGCCGTGCATCGCTTACCACAATAGCTGTTTTTACATATCTATCAGATAATCACACTGTTTACAGCTTTAGCCTCTCCACTAAATGGCATCCCATCACTGAAGAGATTTTCTGGGAATATGTGACAATTGAGGAAACGATTAACTGTAATCTGTAGTAACTGTTTTGGCACAGCTGCCATGATTTTCGATAAGTCTTTCTTTAAATCCACCTTCATCATACAGGCTACTTACTGTTTGCATAATGGCTGCAGGTAAAAGGGTGCGACTCTTTCACTTCCTTTTTGAGATGCTGGAGAATCCAAACATGGCCCACTGTTTGTCCTGGGTGCCAGCTGCCGCCGGTGTTTTCCGCTTTTCCTCCAGGAATAAGGATCAGGTGGCTGCACTGTGGGGACAGAGAAAAGGCAACAAGAGACTCATGACCTACCAGAAGATGTCCAGGGCGCTAAGAAACTACGCCCGGTCTGGAGAGATCTTCAAGGTGAAGAAGAAGCTCACCTATCAGTTTAGCCGAGACACCCTGATGTTGCTGCAGAAATGTCATCGAGATTTGTAATGTAGGCTCGGTTTTCTGTAGCTCACATCATGTCAAGTGAACTGTGCTTTTTTTTCTGTTTATCGCAACTTGCATTTCCTACATTTTTCCATTTTTACTCAGACTATTGATGGCTTGTGGTGTAAATATCAAAAGAATAAAGAAATATTTTACTGTTTCTATCATTATGGAGTTTGACTTTTAAACTTTTTTATTAGTAAATGTCCCAATCATGTCCCAATTATTCTGGTTTATGGAGGTAAGAACGGTGCGAGTGTTGAAACAAAGATGTGCTTATTAATGTTTTTAATTCAAATTTCCAGAGACTTTATCAGGGCTGAGACAAAATGTATACATACATATGAAGTTTTGGCTTTTTACTTTCTGCCGGACCACCTCCATTTTTAAATTTTTTTTGAAAACTTTTACATAAACATGGAAGTTTTACGATCCATGTGCCACATACAGAGCTGAAATCACTCACCATTCACCTAATTACACATTTGAAGCTTACATTTTATAAAGAACAGGTCCACATAATATTTGCATGTTTCTGATGCGGCTTCAGGAAATATTAAATGAATCAGCTGAAAGACTAGATATCTCTTTCAGGTCCTGTATCAGGGTTTTTCTGGATTTTTTTCCTATTTCTTAAAGAAATAACTTTGAGATAATTTTCACCTGCTACATAGCATGCTGAGACATGCCAAGTTTTTGGCTGAAAGCTCTTTGGGAATCACCTTTTTTGCTTGTCAAACTGTGTTATCTTAAGCATTTTTTGTAGGTTGAACTAAAGAAATGGACACAAATTATGTGTTTTTGCAATGCACGTGCAACTGTGAGTCACAAAGTTCATAAAGACAGAACTTAAAATTGACCCATTGTTAATTTTCTGTTATGTGTACACCCAATACTGGTTCATCCCTTGAGTTAGGTGGCTTTTATGGCCTTTTTTAGTAGCCTTAAGTAGCTTAAATGGTAAATGGTAAATGGCCTGCATTTGTATAGCGCTTTTCTAGTCCATAGGACCCCAAAGCGCTTTACACTACATTCAGTCATTCACCCATTCACACACACATTCACACACATTAAGTAGCCACTTGCAGAGTAATTTTTGTTCCTCAGGTACAAGGACTGGACTAAAAATGAGTGAAAAACGTTCAGAAAGCCTGGAGAAATGATACTTAAGACCACTTAAAAAACACAAGAAAGTCTGGCTGCTTGGAAGCAAAATACAAAGAAAGGAGGGGTGTCTTGAAACTTTTGCAGAGTACGGTATTTAATAAAAATGCGGTGAAAACCTTTTATAAGTTTTCACACTTGAGATTTTAAACTATGCGATGTGGTGAAAAAGCCACACAGAGGTGGGCTATTTGATGTTTATTTTTTATGTTATTTATTCAGCATGTTAATGGCCCGCTTTGCAAGACAGCTATATATTTCATAACTCGACATTATACTTGATGCCCAGCTACAGCATTGATTTAGCATGGAAAACACACTGTTATCCTAACTGTCTGTAATCTAACGATGCAATTGAGCATCACAGTTTCAAGCCCGGAGCATATGCATACAGGTGCAGTTAATTAACTCTGCTTAGGTTTCATGTGAATCCCCAGTCCTCAATATCTGTATACGATCTAGAATACAAAATAACCAACAGAGGGAGAGAAATGTGAATTAAGTTCCGTTCGTTGACCACTGAAGTCCTGAAATTTCAAATCCACATGGGTAAGGTCTTTACACGGGCCGATAGTTTGTAATTATTCCTTACTAAATATAATTTCTTCTGCAAGCATGTTTGCATATGTCCTAAAAATGCATCTCTCCAAAATACACTTTTGGTTGTGAGTATTTTACAGGAAAAACTGTAGTTTTCAGTCACACGTTCTCTTGGAAACAGAGTTGCTTTTGTCTCTCTCAATGGACAGAAATGTGAATTTGCACTTGTTTTTTTCCTCATGTGATGGATTTGATGGCTGCTAGAAGCCAGAGGGTGTCAGTGTAGTCCTTTTCAACGCCTCCAGCTTCCATTAAACTTCATTTGTGTGACGTGACCTCACGGCTTAGCCTCCTCTGTGATGTGAAGTCTCGCCCCTCACAGGCAACTCCAAATGGTTTTGTTCTCTTTGTAGCCCACATGATACTTCCCTAAGCCCAGTATTTACTGCTGGAGCCCACTTGCAGTTATAAATGGGCTAACTGAACTATGGTTGTCTGTTACCAAGAAAGGCCACAAACTGAACTATGAAAACAGGTGTTTAAGGCAGGAGTGTATGATAAATTGAATGCTTCCTAATCACAGGATGATGATTTCCTTTGGTTTGCAGACTGGGTCTAATTTTGTTGCTGCTCATTTAAAAAGAGCTTTGCTATAAGCTGTGACTGTCTCTGTTTCTTCATAATGCTTTAAGCTGCATTCCTGCTCCACAGCCCCAAAATAGAGCTCAGCCTTGCCTTGACTGTGCAGCTGGGCCATCCACTTCCATATGAGAGAGGTCCCCAACATGCTCATGATATTTGTCAGTAGCAGGAGAGTGACACTGTACAAGTGAAGACGCTTCAGTGTGTTGGCGCTCGTAAATCCATCAGCTTTCAGCCTTGTTGTTTAGTCTTCACGACCTTATTAAAGACTACGTTTGATTTATCACTTGAGTTTGACGTGCTAAAAAGATTAATTAGGACCAAAGCAACCCTTTCAGTTACATAAATCTCAATGAAACCCTCTTTTCATGTCAGATACACATGTCAAATGTCAAGGTTTATGACAGCTTTCTAAGTATAGGCCGTATAACCAGTGCCCAGGCATCTCCCCACTATTTATTTGCCAGGTCGGAAAGCCTGCTGTTCTTGGACAGCATTCCCCTTGGATTAAGCTGATATCTGGCACCTGGCATTGAGCCCCTGCTTGTCAACTCTAAGTTTGTTCTTTTTTTTTGAATAACGAATCCATACATTCTCTGAATATGTCGTATATCATGTGAGCATAACCCAGGATTGTCGGAGAGTATTACATCAGCCTCGGGCCTGTTAACAATGACGACACCTTTTCCTTTTATATCCCACCTCCTGTTTTGCCAGTGATCTACCGTGGAAGCAATCTTAGTAGTAATGATATTACAAAGTAAGATAACGGCTACAGCAAATAATTTCAAAAAGACTAACTAGTCAATATAATGTTGGTATTTTGGAAAATTTGTCCAAAATCTGGAATTTCCATAATTCCATGTGTAGCTGAATGTACTGTACAGCACCACAGCAACATATTTATTTGATCACAATGTATGTGTGTGGTCTATTTTTAGGTCAATCCCACATACATCATGCTGCAGCTTTAAATACAAGTTAGTAAACAATATCTGACACTGAAAATAGTCTCCACTATATACAAAGTTTAAGCCTTTGTAAGCACAGCTTACTAAAAAAACAAAACTTAAACAATCCATCTGTGTGTTTAAATGCTCAAACAATGATTCATTATAATATTACGACTCTAAAACATCACCCAAAACATGCTGTAAACACTGATGCAAACTTTGAGAATGAGTCAAGTTAAAAGTGTTGTGAATTTAACATCCTGATGCACTTGTAATTCATGGCCTCGCACTGGGTATGGGACAATAATGTTACAGTAGGTGTAGGATGGAGCTGCATTGTCAACTACAGAGAGGAGGAGCATGCCACATCTCTATATAAGGCCTAAAAGCCTGTCCCTCCTTGATCTGTTATCGGTCCCCCTCTTCTCCCCACTGACTTTTCCAAACCGTATCCCTGTGCCCTCTTCATCTCCCATCACTCTGCTGCAAAGGGGTCTCTGAGGGTTTCTATTCGCTATTGTCCTACTCACCATCAGCACCTATCTGTCCCTCCTGGACTGAGGAGGCTCCCACGCCTCATACAAGAATCCTACCTGCATCTTTTGACTCCTTGGTAGCTTCTTTGGGACGCAGCTCAAGATGCCAGAGCCCACAAAGAAAGGTAGGAGTTTTAACAGTATGTTGCCAGCATGCAGCTGGGGTCCAACCACCTGTTACAGTTTATGTTTTAATTGTTTTAAAAGGTACAAATGCTGAGAATTTGCAACAGTTTAAGGTTTACAATGTGGTTCTGCTTTTTTTTTTTTTTTTTTTTTTGATTGAGGGCAGCACAGTTTGTTGTTACTGGCTGTGAGGAGCTCCATCACTCTATGGCTTGCCTGCCAGCTTGTTCATAGGAATCCTCAAAGTGACTTTGAAAGTGGTATTGTATTACTGATGCGTGCGTGTTTCTACCATCCTTGGTACAAGAGAAGATTTGAGGCGTACAAACAGATAGTATTATTGCAAAGCTTGGCATACTGGATCGGTTTAGATTGATTTGACTGGAGAAAGACAAGATGGTAAAGCACAGGAGAGGAATGTTGATGAGTGCTCAGGAAAAAAACTACCCCTGAGGGATGATGCAAGCTGGATGGAAAGTGTGAGGGTTGAACCGTGTAAGGATAAATAACATCTTGATTGTAGATATCTTCTAATTGAGTTTTTGTTCAACTGCAGCTTCACCATCCCCTGTCGCGCCCTCATGTTGGATCTTTCTTTCACACTGGAGTGTCACTCATCTCTACCATCATGTCCATCAACATTCCCTTTTAATCCACTTGTGTCTATCATTACCTTATGGTATTACTCCCACTCTACCGATTAGCTCAGCTCTCCGGGCAGCATCTGTTGTTGACCCAGACATGCCCATGTAGAGAAAATCAAACGCTTTGTTCAGCTTTTGGATGGCTTCCGAATTACACATAATAGAACTTTCAAAATCTATGATTCTCTAGAAGAGGATTGGTGTGTCCATACCAGCTCTTGGACTGCTGTGCATTGTTTGCACATCTCTTTGTACACAAATACATCTCTGTATTTGATTTACCTTCCATTAAAATATGTTTTAGGTGTTTGAAAGGACTGAGGGTTGCCGCACATCAAGCAAGCTTTGCCTTTTAGATCGTAAAGCATTATAAATACTGGATTAAAGCATCAACTTGACAATCTGCAAGCTACAAAACCCTAACAGTACCTTACAGTACCAATTTAGCTCCCTTTCTATTTGCGTCATTTGCAGTTAAGAGAGAGTGATGTGCGAAGTGATGTGACAATCAATACCTGTTCTTACAGAGTTCATCTGGTGCCATGACCATCCATGATCCCTCGGGAATCAAGGCTGTGGTGAATTAAAGGCAGCAGATTCCTGTCTGCTACAAACACTACCCATAAATAGCTGCACAGCCCCAAGCAGCAGATAAATAAGGGCGGAAAAGTATTGTTCTTTAAATGAGTCTGAACAGCTGAAGAGGAGGAGGGTAGGGGCTGTTGTTTTAGACACCCGGCTCTCAAGCCTTTAAAATGTCCCAACCAGAGATGACGGAGTGGTTGAGTTGTCCCTGGATCTCTGGGGAGCAGGATTCTTGTCCCTGGAATAGTTCAGAATGAGCACACTTTTAATCCCCATCCCTTGTTCACTGCCATCTCCTTTCACTGCCCCTCCTCCACGCCAAAACAGACACCTCCCTGCCACCCTGTGCTCAGGATGGATCACTCAGAGGTCAGGCAGCTCCCTATTAAATCTCCAAATCTGTGCCCAGCGATCCTCATGAACTGTGACAAAATTTCAGAGGTAGTAAAGGCCATGTCTTTACCTCGTAATATTTATTGTCACTAAGGTCCAACACTCCCCTGGGCTTTATCCTCAAACACTTTGTGTTACTGAATACCACCTAGCAAATCAAGCCCATGATGAAATACACAGGGGAAACCTGTCAGCAACTAACTGCCACTCAAGTGCTGATTCCTAAAGGGTCCTTCAGTGTAGTTGTTATCAAAGCAGTAAATGGAAAAACTAAATCACCAGAAAGGGTCTGGTTGTATTAGCTTTAGCTTGAATGTCTTATCAGAGCAATAGGGGTCTATATTAGGAAAAATGAAGCCTCTGGCCATTTAGCTTACATACACATATGAGCCCTTCTGTCTGCACGCCAGCAGCGGCGACAGCTGAAAATACCTGCAGCTCCGTCAGCTGCGCTGAGAGTCCTCAGAGGTAAAACAAAACCTTTCTCCACTCTCATTATCTCTACGGTGATGAGACAGAGCAAGGCTCGCTCTTGGGTACATGATGTGACCCTGCAGGATTCTGGCACACGGGCCAGCAACACATTGTTTTGGAGTGAGACAGAACTGTGGCTAATTTTGACAAGGAACGCTAAGAGGGAATCATTACAAATGGAGAGATATCAGAAGCTAAGTGGCAACGGAAGAAAATGTATATATGTCAGTAGACATACTGCACAAGGAATTAGGGTTACAGTTTTCACTGATGGGCTTCAAACAGGTGGCAGTGACAAGATGGACAATGCACGGAGGAAGGAAAGTTTTTTCTACAGGGATACAGACATTTCAACCATATTCCACCCTTGGGATTCCCATGTGTTCACCCACTGACATTTAATGTCATGAATATGAAGTACTAAATTCACTTTTTTAAAATATACATTTTTATGGCTGTAATAAGAGGTTTAAACACTCTCCACATCTCACATTTTTCTTGAATCCAAGGTGTTTTAGTGCCAAAAACCCCTCTAATAAACTTTAATAATTATTATTAATTATTTGGGGCATTAAGTATCTGACAAAGATTTCTGCAGGAGTAAATTTCAATGTACTTTGCTGCAAAAATGTAAATTTTGTAAACCTATAATGTTAAAAAGCATACACAAATTTATGGATACATAACAGTAGTGGACCAGGTCCTATACAAGACTATGAAATGTTGGGCATTATGTACCCTAACTGTCAACTTCATCCAAGCGCCGACGATATTTTTAACTCTACAGCATAACTGATGACATGACATTTCGAGCTACAGATATGACAATATGCTGCACTTAAATGTGCTTTGTTTTGCTAACTTCTGTCTGTTTTTAGCATGCATTGCCTTCATTCAGATGCTACTGGCTAGCATTAGACTGTATAAAAGATAGCTTTAACCAGGATGGCATCACTCATATGTTTTGGACTTAGCATTTTACATTTTTGAGGTTAGCATTTTGGCAGTAGCCATGTTCTTGGATGAAAGTGCGGAGTGCTAATTTATTAGGTACCTATAAACTATGTGGGTGCAACGCTTGGAGTGATATTAGCTAATTAGTGCTCAGAAACAGACTAATAAAATACTCACCAAAACTGAAGCTCAAACTTCATAGATGGTCTGTTGTTCACAGCCTACCACAATCTCAATCAGATAATCCAGGTAAATGCTCCAAGAGGCTCCAACATCACACAAGCACTGATTAGGTCCATTTAAATGCTGGAAGTAGTGCATGAGGCCTTGCAGACTATGACCACACCCATTACTCAATTTTCAATGTGGTTGTGTTATAAAATTAAATTCACCCCTCTCAGACCTGTTTTAAAGGAGGACTTTATCCACAAAAGCCAAAAATATTTTAGTACCAGTCTTTAAAATGCATTTTAATGCTGTAAAGTTGAACATTTTGACATAGGAGTGTATTGGGACTGCCTCCCATATGGATCCTGCCTCTCGTGGATCCTAGAGGAAGTTTTTGTTACTTCTACACTTACTTACTTTGCACTGGTTTTGTGTTTAAGCTTTGGAGTTGCCCTTGCTGCTATTTGCAGACAGCAGCCCTCAGTCCCCGGTGATAAGACCACCTGTCAAAAATGATAAATGATATAAATGATAGCCTGTGACCCTGAAAGTACCTGCAGAAGAGGGCAGCAGGGGTTAGCCTACAGAGTAAGAAGTCGCCATGCTACTGCTCTGTTTATGTTTTCATAAATAGTGATGATCGATGTGAGCAGAAGGCAGTTGAGACAAAAGGTGTGTGTAATTGGAAGAGAGAGGATTACCAAGTCTTTGTTCAAATGTCTACATTATATCTTTTTTTCCTCACAATAGCCTCTATTTGTGGAAACAGTTTTGTGGAGGTGCAATTTGGCTACAGTGCTGTGAAAAAGTATTTGTCTCTTTTGTGATTTCTAAGATTTTTGGACACTGTTTTTTTCTCACACTTACGTTGCAGATAATCAAACAAATTACAATATTATGTATTATTATTGCAATTACAAAATAAAAAATTTTAAATTCTTCTTTTAAAGGATATTCAAACCAAACGGGTATTTGTATTCGTGATCACTTGAAGTGTCTTTCACATCACTGGAAGAATTTTGGCCCACTCGTCTTCCAGATTTGTTTTAATTCAGCCACACCTGAGGGTTTTCCACCATGAACAGCCTATTTAAAGTAATATCAAAGGATCACAATATGATTTAATGCAGGACTTTGACTAGTCCACTTCAAAACCTTCTTTTTGTTTGAGTTACTGAGAAGTGGCAGGTGTGTTTGACAATGGTATGACATTAGTTTTATTAAAGGTATAACTGCACTTTTCCCAAAGTCTTTGGGATCATTGAGATGTTTTTTGGCAAATATGAGATGAGTCTTTATGATTTTTTTGTTCACCAGTGGTTATCTCCTTGAAACTCTGCTATGGAATTTTTGCCCAGTCTTTGTCTTAGTGCTGGATTGTGAACTCTGACCTTAGCTGAGGCAAGGGAGGTCGGCAGTTCTTTGGATGTTGTTCTGGGGTCTTTTGTGACTTCCTGAATGAGCCATTGATGCACTCTTAGAGTAATTTTGGTCAGCTGGCCACTTCTGGGAAGGTTCCCTGCTGTTTTCAGTTTGTGGGTAACAGCTGTCACTATGGTTCACTATAGTCCTAAAGCCTTAGAAATGGCTTTGTATCCCTTTCCAGACTCATAGATGTCAATGACTTCTGTTGCATATGCTCTTGAGGTTCTTTAGATCCCAGCATGATGTGCTGCTTTTTAAAAAAAACAAAAAAAAAACAAACTACCTCTCTTTGTCAGACAGGTTTTTATTTAAGTAATTTCTTGACTTAATAGCTATCAGGTTTGGGTGTAGCTAAAAAATTGAACTAAGCTTTCCAAAAAATGCGGTTGCTCAAAGTTAATTTATGATTTAATGAGAGGGGAACCTGTGTGGTTATGAAAGGTTTTTTTTGACTTAATAAATGAAACCATCATTTAAAAACATAAATTTTGTATTTAATCATGATATCATGATATCTTTTTGCATAATATTAAAATTTGCTTGAATGATCTGAAATATGTAAGTACGTAATACGTAAAATCAGTGTGCTCAAACTAAGAAAAAAAGAGAGTCATAATGCAAGTAATTCTGCTGTCATGTTTCATAGTTGTATTTTCTTTTTCTTCCTGTAGATGAGCCAAATGGTCAGCCAGAGGGTGAGTGCACATCTTATCATCCTATCACCTCACAGTCCAGCAGCGTAGAGTTGCACAATACACAATTTTTTATAAAAAGTCGCTCAAAATTTACACAAGTATGCAATTTCAGTAGAAAATACCACTGCTGACATCAAACAGCAACCCTTGTTTTCACTTGTTGTACAGGCACAAAGCAGAACAGGTCTACACATGTAATATAATGAACCTGGCGTGAATGTGCAAACACTGCCGCATAGGAGTGTAAATGTGGAGCCAATAGTCGGCAGTATGGATATGCTGCCGTGCTTCACAGAGATCTGTAGCAATGACCAAGCTGTCAGCATCTCTGACATTCCTCTCGTCAGCCAGCTGATCCCTCACTGTTGATTCAGCTGACGCCTCTGCCATCCCATGTGAGCAAGCTGCTGGCGTGTTATTGGCTTTTTGCCGGCGACCTTGGAGCTTCAGCATCTTAATGCTCCAGCTCAGTCGGGTGGCGGGAGAGCTCAGCTTTTTAGGGTCCAAGTAAAATATTATTCCCGGAAATTTTCTGTATTTAACACATGTAGAAATAAAAAGACTACATCACAACCAGGCTAAGGTCAGCATTATTGAAAACGTATAGCAGCACTTCATATGAAATAGGGAGAGTTATGTAAATAAGATGAAAATATAAGGAGTCTGCTCTTTTAGTCATTTGGCGTGTTCTGATTTCCAGGATGTCAAATACTGCCCGCTTTCACAGAAGTAAAATGCACAAGGTGTTGTTTCAATAATGATTATTGGCAAAACGGGTCACAGGTGTGACATTGGTCATCCTGTACTCTTTTATTTGCAGCCACTTATACTACTAATAAGAATACACATTGAGTTTCTTCACTACCAACTTTGTGTCAGGCTGTCCTTGAAGTCCTCTATAGAGGCAACACAAAAGAATCAATAAAAAAACAGAAGATCCAGGTCATCCCGCTACAACAGAATCCACATGGCCTGACCCCTCTAGGGCTCCCCAGAATAGTCAGACCTTACTCCAAAAAAAAGCAAGGGTTATGATCACTGTCATCATGTAGCTATAAAACAGGTGGGGTCTAAGTAAAAAAAAAATCCATAAAAAGACTGAGTCATACAATCCTGTCTCACAACACAAATTTCCCAGCATTATTTAGTGTCCCTAAACACCACTTTTCATCTGTCTTATCTAGTGCCTTCTGAAAGGACATCAAAAATGGTATTAGGTATTTACAGAAGTTGACTTGAATTTGAAGTGAAACACTTAAATTTGAGTCATACATGTCATAGTTTTCCATTTGTATGATTTTGCTATTGCTTGCTGCCATGGTAACACTTTCCATGGTTGCTAACATATTATTGTGGTCGTAATTTGAATGGAAAGGACGGCCTTGTCTACAAACACTCTGAGCTGTATGTGTGATGGTAACTGGAAATGAAGAAGGTTCCCTTTCAGAGTAAAAGTTGCGCCTTATGAAACATGTTGGCTGTGGTGCTGAGCCACAAAGTTTACTATGAACCTTCTCCATTTTCAGTTGGCGTCACAATTCTCTCAGTTTTTGCAACTGATTATACCCAGTGACAGCCAGCAACCTACAGAAACCACTTACCAACCAGTCAGGGAAAACACACATTTCTCTAGCAACCAGTGTTTGTGTCACATCAAATAAGGCGAACATGAGAGCCCTTAAGTGGTTGACTAACTTGTGCTTTCTGCCACTGTGAACCTTCATTCAGCTGCTGTCCAAATTCAAAGCCCAGACACCAGTGGCTTCTGATAATGTGGCAGTATTTCACGCTCTGGTATGAGAACTCTGACTAAGACGCAAGACAGCAAAAAAGAAAAACAGACATTAATAAATTAATACTTTTATATAGTGCTTGTTAATGAGGAAAACCATTAAGTCAATATAATCCCATTACTGTAGCACAATATAAAATAGTGTCTCAGAGCCCAACACTCATCCTAGTGTTCAGATGCGGAAGCTGCACAGGGCAAAGCTAGAGTTCCGGCAGTTTTACAGCTGTAACAGTAACGTGCATTCCTATCAGTTTACTGTGTAATCCCTTCGAGCACGCATTCTCTAAAATGAGAGGATCTAACAGTTACTGAGGAATATAATGAATGCACGACATTGCCTGACGAAGCACGACACTTCCAACCGGTGTGTTTATTAATGCGTATTAATGTGCATTTCAACATGAACGACCTTTGCACAGCCTCAAGTGTTGACATATTAACAGCACATTTTCAGTCAGAGAGCTTACTGATGAGTCTAGGAGGATGTTCTGGAAAATGATGATGTTTTGTGATAAAGTATGCATACTTGCAGGCAGGTGGGTGGATATAGCTGTGTGTCTCTGTCCGTGTGAGTGTGTGTCTGTTTGTTTGGGTGTGTGTGTGTGAAAGTGAGAGAGGCACTGCAGATGCTGAAGCTTTATTGCTTATCAAAAGCAGCTGTTCCATCCACAACTATATTTGTCACATGCTCAGAAAGTGTTGCCCCAGAAAGTAGCGGTGCCCCACCCCCACCTGAGATTTCCCTGGAGGTATCTCCACCCCCAGGTGGGTATAACCCTGATGCCTCCCTCTTCACTTGCCCCAGAATGTTTCGCACTTTTTGCTGGTCACACTCACATCACGTGTTCGTTTGGTGTGTGCCATCACAATTTCATTTTTTTTAATTCACCGTGCGAGGCCTGAAACTGCACTGTTCTTGTGGAGGTATGATCACTCAGCACACAATGTTCACACAAGAAATTAGTTTAGCTGCAGCAAACCACCCCACTCACTGTGCACACATCCACATGCCTGCACTGCTCTAGATGCACGTGCCTTGATTCATGGAGCTGTTACTAAGTCATGCTGTGGCTGTTTTTGTACTCAGCTGTATATGTTATCAAACAGGAGGTCGATGAGGGATTACAGATCCCGGGCTTTACTGACTCTGTTGGCTCCAGTCAACGGCCAACTGTCC